CGCGTATTAATAACAATAATTAATATAAAAAGTGAAATTGAAAAAGACATTGTTAAGATACTCCGTGCCTTTTTATTAATGTCTCGGTGAGTGATGGCATAAAAAAAAAACTTCAATTGTCCAGCCTTTGATCCATTAAGCTAATTGAATTAGTCACAAACAGCTTTTTTATCAAATAACGATCGTCGTAAATAGCATTTACCTGCCAAAGGTGTTATTTATTGTTGTTATCGGAGTAGTCGTAACTACAAAATAATTACTGAACACATAACGAGAACAGATCCATTACGTTCGTTATTCAGTATTAAACATGCCCTTTAATTTAATTAAATAAAAGACGTTAATGTTAAACAAATGAGGAATTTTCACATTAATTTTGTTTGTGTTAGAGATCACAGTTAATTAATTAATTGTTTATTTCAAAGTTTCTTTTATTGACTCAAAAGAAAATTAGGAAATCAATTAGAATTGGTATGTATTAGCATGTAACTTAATTGGTTATAAAATTATGCATTTTAATTTGGTATTCAAAAATTTTAATATGATGTATTTAATTTGGTATTCAAATTAAAATGCATCATAGTTTATTACAAACTGTAACAAAAATACATATATAAAGAAAAGAGAAATCCTTCGTAGACAAAAATCTAAATAGACAAACATAATAACAGATTAGATCAGTAATTTCCATATCAATATTGTGATATGGACATATTTTCTCTCACTCAAAATTGGTTCAAAGAGCTTACCTTAAAATAATCAGTAGTACTGGATTCGCGTGAACCTTTGTGTAAATATTTTCTTGCGCTTTCAACTTATTTATTTATTATATTAGCTTAGCATGATACACTTTTAATATATTTCTTATACCTTGTATGGTATTGTCCACAACTGGTCGCTGATTACATCTTAAAATATTTTTTTCTTACTATCGTGCTCACTTTTATTGTGTAATTAATTTAAGCCCCAAATAAAAATATAATTTAAATAAACAGATAAAGATTTAGAAAACTTATAATCTTAATCTCAATCGTTTATATATGAAATAAAGTTAAAGTAGTGAAACAAAAAACCGCTTAACGCAGGTGAATAAAATGAAATCACCATTAGAGTTCTCCGACGCCTTCGCTTTATCGGAAATAGACTTAATGGTGACTTTTCGGGCCTCAAATTGACATGAATATTTATGAGCCTGCCTACTTTTTCCGCTCCAAAGACAATACTCCTTGACTTGTTGTGTTAAATTTCCATTCGAAGCCTTTTCGTCAAATTAATCTTGTTGACTAAATAATACCGAAATTCTGTAAGCAAACTACACAGAGTAGCGAACAAGTTAAATCAAGACAAATTTACTTTGTAACAGGCAAAACTGAAACTGGGGCATAAATACGAATAGAGCGAGTTGGAACAATAAGACAGACCCGCTTTATGCAGTGTAGTAACGCAAAAGAAATATGTGCCACACTCGAATTACTCGGCGGCTTTTTGTATAGCGCCAACTGCGATATTTATTCGCCACAATATTTGTACGGTGCGGAGACCATGCGATGACAAGGAAATGGAACGCTGAAATATGAATTTTATATTGTGTTTTGATAGTACAACATATCTATGTAAAATGAGTATCTACGTACACTCACATTTTTATGTCAAAATTTAATTTACATCAAATTATTTGGCATATACTCATAGGTGTAGCATTATTAAAAAACTGATATTTAAAAGCAATAAAGCAATAAATATTTATAATTCGTCATAATTTAGTGTCACATTTTTTATTTTTATTTTAATAATACTCTTTGTTTTTGTATCAAGAACTCTTAGTATCAGAACAAACCGTATCAGAACGGCCCCATTTATTTCGCCTCAAATTGCTTCTTTAATTTCATTACGGTTCATAAAATATATATTACGGTTATATTTTACCAAATCTCAATTTAAAATTGTATCGAAGTATATAAAGAAAAAGCCTTGTAATAATTTCTTAAACAAAACGGACGTTTCACAAAAAAACTTTTCATAAACTTACAAACTTAATAGCATATAAGGCATTTCTTTATTACTAAACAGACGCTTCCCAAAATGTGGCAATTTAGTATTCAAAAAAAATTAGTACTAAATTGATTTTTATAATCAAAACGGACGCATTTCCAAATGTTGTCCTTTAGCACAAAACAAACGTGCGCCTACCTCACGGATTGTTACGTTTCATATTCGGGTGAGTAACAAGGTACAAGTATGTATTTAGAAAGGGTGATTAGTTACCATATTAAGTTTCAGTATGTTTGATGTACATGATATGTCTTGTGTTGGTTTCAACTTAAGTGCGACAAAATAATCAGAATATTGTACACATGACGCCTGCCTACATTATCATTCTGATTAATGTGACACACGGCAAATCCGTTCAGTTACTTGTGTCAACTTAGTGACATCAGAAGAGTTTTATAATAAGAATCTACTGACAATTATTTATTTTATATTATAACTGAATGTTTTCTAACGTCAATAAGATAATTTTACCCAAGAACAATAATGTACTATTAAATAGCATTAAAATCAATAATTATTCTGTTATAAAATTTACAGCCTTCAACTAAACGTTTAGCACAGCGCTGTCACAACATAGAGCGTCAATGAAGTAAAGAATTTATAACTTTTGAAGTTTTATTTTAATCAAACCTTTATTTTGTGATAAAAACTTGACGGCGTGTTCAACACTGATGTTATTAAGAACTAGCAGATGATACAATATAAAATTAGATTAACGAAAAATCTGAAATCATTATATATGAAATCGAAAATAGAATCTATAAAATTACTTTTGGTATTAGGTGAGAATAAAAATAAATATTCAAGCCAAGAGAAATTAATTTATTAGATATAGCGTCATATGCACTATTTATAATAAAAGCGTTCATTATAAATAATGTAAAATAAATTGCGAAACTTTAATAAAAATAATATCTTTTTCCTAGGCATTACATTAAAATAGATTCTAGATTCTGCTGAAGATGAATACTATTTTCTAAAAGTAGACTGGACATTTCAGAAAAGAGGCCTGTGCTATGACAAAATATACTTCGAAACATTGCAAGATAGGTACATAAATATCTTAATTCAAGTGTTTCATGCCATCAAAATAATCTTTCGAGGTATTATGCAAATTCCGTAAATAGCTAGAGCAGACACAATGTGATTACGAATTAAATTATAAGGACACCAAGATGAGAGAAACGGAATCATAATACTGAGGGTTTGACTTAAGTGAGTACTATACTAACACTCAATGGCGGATGAAGTTGAGGGAGGTCCTCGTGAAAATAAAGTTTAAGATGCTAGTGAGTAACAAGTTAAATAAGTAAATATTAGGTATCAAATGTATTGCTCAGACTTCAATTCTTCTTGAAGTCTAAGATACACCATAATAAGAGTATTATATAGTGTTTTAGACAACGAAGGTACTACAGCCGAGACTCGAGACAATATAGAAAAGTCATTCAATTCTATATTGACCCAACAAGGAATCAATCTGGATACACCTTGAAACTAGCGTGCGTGGAGAATATATGTAAGTTGAAGTAAACTACTAAAATTGTTCAATTTAAAAATACCCGGCAAGAAAGAAAATCCTACATCAATAGTTACTAAAAATATAGAAAACAAGACTTCAAAAAATCAAGAGTAAATTATAATGGTTTTGTCGGAACCCTCAGGGCGCCAATTAGGCTCGATCTTGGCCGGTGTATATGCTTAACCCCATCACACTCTTGAAATGAAATACTACGATACTTTTTACATTTACTACATACTAACGAAGGTAAAAAAAAAAACTTACTTTTCGCAATGATAATTTCATAGACAATATATTTTTAAAGCTTTTTCTTATTTAATAAACCCAATACTTCAAATTAATCACTAAAAACGTACGGTTTGTCTGCGGTAGACATCAGAGTTCGATTTTCAACTTTGGTCTATTGTGTAAATAATAGGCCCCTTATTGAAACCAAAATCAATTCAACTTAGAATAACCAACCAAGCATGCGTTTATTTTATGGGCAGACTGGTTGGTTGATTTGGAGAATAAATTATGTCAAACGAGCACAAGCGGTTTATAGGGAGTCGGTTGTCATTTGTCAAAATGTAAATTTATTCCAAGAAAACAAAGAACGCCTCCAGGGTTGCACGCACGCGCAAAAACTGTATAAGGTTAATGCTGCCGAGATGTGTTCCTGTCGGATTACCAGAATTCCCCAGCCCTCAACTAATTTCGGGCAATTCGTCTAGACCTTTTTTGGCGCGTTGGCGTTCAAATGTGTTGAGTTGACAGTTTGCAAAGGGATCAATGTTAATTGCGTAAGTTATAACGTGGGCTTTAGGAGCAAGGCTTAGTGATCATATAATTTATTCCTATATGTTAGTTTTATTCAAAACGTAGGATACTACGTTTTATTTTTCAGTCCTTGCCATGACATTTTTAAAATAAGTATAATTAATGTTATAAGCTCCAACACTGCACGATGATTGACTGGGAATTTGTATACAATATTGCTTTTTATGTATAAAATATTAGTTTTATCTCAGATTTCCCTTGAGAACTACAGGGGTTACCAGATATGATGGTTAATTTAGAAATATAATACGCAGATACAAGTACTAGACTAACATGTTTCATAACACACTAAAAGCTCTATGAATAAAGCTTTAAAATTATAGTATCGATGAAACGGAAATTGCATTAAAACCTATTTTGGCTCACGTCTGTACCCATGCCATCAGATAATGAGAACTAACTGCCTCTAAAAGAGCCCAGTAATGGTCGGAGTTATAGCGCTTTGTAACAACACAGCGGATTAGACTCGTTAATTATTAAAGTTAGATTTTAGCGAATGCGCCAACTTACATTAGATATCCACAGTGAAAATGTTTTCATAACATCACCAGCCCTTTTACGTCCCCACTGCAGGGGCTCAGGCCTTCCTTATGGATGGTTAAGGAGGATGGGCCATGACCCTCCACGCTGGCCCAATGCGGATTGGAGGGTATTAACGACTGCAAATGCAGCCGGGACCAACGGCTTAACGTGCCTTCCGAAGCACGGAGTAGTTCGAGATAATAATTTTTTGGTCACCCATCCCGTGACCGACCCTTGCGAACGTTGCTTAACAACTACGATCGCGGGCCACGGCGCTTATCCACAACGCCACCGAGTTTTCATAACGCCCACCATAAAATGTGATGAAACTCGAAACTAATAACGCTCGCAATAAAAATAAACTTAAACAACAAATTCAAATATTTCTAACGATGACTTACTGTTTTAATTCTTTATGTTACTTATATCAATTTTTAAGTACTGTCGCCTAATAAGGCCCAATGGTTTTAACCGCTAGTGTGCTAGAAAACTAAAACAGCGACATTCTCAAGTATTCAAAACAGTGCCTTATTAAAGAACAGTAACTTATATCACGAACTAATTGTTGATTAGCTTACTTTGGAAGGAAGAATAAAGATTATTCTTTTAACAAAAGCAGTTTATTTTCAGTATCATATATAGACGACTAAAGGTTAGGATTTAACATCATCATCTATTCATGTTTCAATTGCTATTTGAAAGCCCTTTTATTATAAGTATCAACATGACAGAGAAAACTCATAACTTAACATGCAGTTCCAGTGCGGATATATTGCAGTTAGGGCCGGTGCAAATATGACGGAATGTTAGACATCAAGCCTCTCACAGTAGTATGCGTTAAAAATCGGCGAATTGTGCTCAGTCGAATGTATATACATATTATGACATTCGACCTAGCACAATTCGTCTCAGAAAAGGATGCGTTAAAAATATGCTAGGTCGCCTGTCATATTATGTATATATTAGTTCTGATATTCCGCGATATCGCGTTTTTATACATCTTCGCACTGACTCTTGAGACTAGGCTCGCAATAGTGACTTTTTGTCTCAAATCACCGTGCTTGAGAACCGTTTATTCTAAATAATGTCAGCAGTTGGAGACACTACACAAATGCACTAGAATCGGCCTTTAGATCAAAATGGCGTGAAATGGTAAGAAGGGTTACAACAACCACCAATGATGATGCTGCCTAATAATGATCACAGCCGCTCTGTCAAGAGCAACATGACAGAGAATAATAATGGTGCTCGCACTTGGACAATTAGGTGACTTCTATAGAAATAACAGGTGTACGGTGACAGAGACAATAAGTCACGATGACGAAAAATCATCAGTGCTAACATAGTCTTATGTAAATCTGGCCGGGACCACTATCTCAACGAGAGAAAACAGCTTAAGAAGATACAAATGTCATATTACTGTCGGCAAACGTTCCATCTCAAAATTAGTACTGTAAATTTTTCACTTTTGGGTATTTTATGTTACCTCCACTAAGCAGTATCTCTAAACAATATTTTAAAATACTATATTGAAGTATAAAAAATATATCTACCAAATACTCACTGAAAACATCATGAAAATGCAAAGAAAAAGGCTACAAAAGTCCATTTTTGATTGAAACAGTGCTTTCTTATGATCATTACTTGAACTATGGCACTTTAACGATATTTTCCAACGGATATTTTTTACTTAATAACTTTAAATATTTAGTAAATATGCTCCATAGTTAATATCCTTATAGAAGCTTAATTATGCTAAATTTTTATTAATCAATATAATAAATTTAATAAAATTATTGATCTGCATTCAGTTATAAATTGATAACGACTTTCTATTGTATACAGGTATATATTCGAATTCAGTTTTCACGAGTCATTCGATTGATCCAAGATTGTTTACGACGTTGTAATTCTGCAATTCAATGTCCCGAGTAAAACCTCCGCTAAATCAAATCTGTTGTTTAGTACATAATTTCAGCGGAGATCATTTGAATTTTCTGTCATAAAGAATCGACTGTGCTATTTGAACATTATCCCTCGGCGTTAAGGATTAGTATCCTATGGGAAGGTTCGAGAGGGATGTTGTTTTCAACATATAAAACGAAATCTGGCATTTCGGCGGGTGCCTGCCATCCTGTGCTACAAATCAAACCGTAAGGGCGTTGACCTGGTTTCTAGAGATGCGAATTTCAACCGCACTCGTTGCAAATATTACGAAGACTAGAATTCCTTCAAGTTTCTCTCACTTTGGAGATCTCTGGTTGCTAATTACATTAACAAGAGGATACAATATGTATGTAAATCATAAGTCTTTCGTAGTTACAATTAACATAGTACATAAACATATTATAGATTACATCCCTCTTTGCTTTGGTGTTGATTAGTGAAGGAATTGGGACTGGCAGTTACACACAGTTATCTCTTATCACATAAGAGTGAACAGTGCTTCAGAAAGTGCTGTAAGGCCTTGAGCAAATGTTTATCTAGTCGAGCTTTTATCTTCACCGTTCACCTATTAATTTTCTAACTGCTGACTCAGAGGTCTCTCTTGATAAAAACCGGCAGAACTAGCCAAAACTTAATCCTAGTGCGGATAAATTTCTGTTAACAACTGCGATAAACACGGGATGAATATTCTGCTTGGATCTTAGGTATATATTTGTTAATATTTTAGAAAAGATCATAAACAACAAATTACAAGCAAGTACGTGCACACACATGCTAATCTACTGTCAATTCCACGAAGTTCATCTTCAATAGTGTAAATGACTGTTCATCCCACTAAATCACTCGTATAGTTATTTGAAGCTGATATTCCCGAAATAGTTAGGGTTAGAGTTAGTAAGTAATAAACTATTATGTTATGCGGTCTTTTGTTTCTTGAGCGCACCGACCTCTGTCCCGCCTGTGATGTCTGTACCGTGAGACTGTGTGCAAATATTTATATGGTTTCGCTTTAGTATACGTCACTTTGTGACTTTACAAACTCAAGTAACAAGATTGTTGGCATGAAAAGTTTTGAATTGCCATTTGTTTTGAATGCATGTATCATTTGTTTTGTGTATCTGAGATTTTATTTTGAACTTATTTTAAACTTATTGAAATTTTATCGTAAACTTTCAACCTTTATTAAGATTTTCATCAAAGACATTATTAGATATTTCAAAAACAAAACTTTAATGTGTGTATTTTGTATTTCATTGATTTGTTTTTTAACATTCTTTATTTTTTATATTACCCGTAGTTGTTCCCATAGTTACTAGACTATAGTTTTATAATAGGGATGACGACTGTATATAAAAAAAAAAGAAATTCAATGTAATCCATCAGTCAGATAATATAAAAATATTAGATACTTTTTTTACTTTAATTTAACAATAAATAGCTTAGATAAGAGGCATTTAAGTAATGGTAGCTATACAGGTCACACTTTTGTAGATACCAATACAAATTTCGATATATTCTCCGCCTGTTCTCCGATATTAATTAAACATTCACTAAAGTTTGTTTATCCTTTTCAGGTACCACAACAGTTTCAGAATCAACAGTGAAATCTATTTCGTAAGTTTGGAGATAATAAAGGTGGCCTCTATGAGCGTCCTCCCACAGCGACGCTACACGGTCCGTAGTCCAAGCCGTCGAATATCAAAATATTAACGTAATAATGACTCTTCATTGCCATTGTATTATTAACCTGACAAATATGTTTTTATTACAATTGCATCTTGACAACGATGACAGATTTGTTGTATTATTAATATAGTTTAGAGAATTGTATAAAAAATCTGCTATTAAAAAGCCATTGCCACGCCATAAATATTGTAAATATAGCATTAGTAAAATTTAACCCATCGGAGTTCAAGAATAATACAAGGGAAGAAACTTGAATTGAATTTATTATGTTATCCGAAAACAGATACTGTTACAAGTAAAAGTCAACGTAAAATGCATAAATAAAATGAGATTTAAATAATGTATGCAATTTATCTACCTAGTCTATATAAATACATTTTCATCTTACCCCGAAAAACTTTAACGGACTTATCATACATTTAACTATACTATTATATTATAAATAATACATATTTATTTGTATCAAATATTTTTCTATTATATTAAAGAAACATTTTGATTTAACTACGAACTAACAATGGCGTTCAAAGATTGAAATCATAGACATAAAAAATGATATGTAGAATCTAAGAACAAGATCAAGGTACAAAACGTAAGCAGACAATGTTACATCACTTTCGTGTAGTAAATATCCGTTTCGTCATTGTGGCAATTTCCAACCTATTATACGCGCATCTCCCTAAAAGAATATCCTAGCTTGCTCTTGTATGCGACCAGATATAAAAAAAACTTGCTACACCCGGCCTATGACTTCATTCTGTTATTTTTTTTCTTTTGCTCGGCTTCTAGGAGTTGTTATAATAACTCTTCAAATGTTTCAATTGCAGTTAAATACACTGGACCGCAAAGAAAACGGGTCGGTTAGAAAATCTTCAATAACTTGAAAACTACCTCACCTAGCTTTATGAAATAAAAACTCAATTAAAGAATATTTAATGTTATTTAACATAGTATATAAAACCTTTTTATTTACTTTAGATAATTGTGTAAGAAAACTGGCAATGAAGATAATGGTTGTTTTCAATTTAGTTCTAAAAAAATCAAAGCATTTGTTTCGCATTTGTTTTAGTTTTGACATAAAAACTACAATAAATATCGTGTGTTTGTCATACAAAAATTGTATTCTGAAGTCATCATGTCGTTAACCCCTGAAGAATGCACCAGGATCCTGACAATGCTTGAAGATGGGCGCAGTCAGCGCAATACAGCGAGAACTGTTGGTGTGAGTCTTTCCACAGTTCAGCGGGTACTCCAGCGTTTCCATGAAACTGGATCGAAGAAGACCAGGAACAGGCCGAACGAGGTGCACGACTGCGCGGGAGGATCGCTATATGGTGTCAACAATTTTGAGAAATCGATTTCTTACGGCCGTTGAGGTAAAAAATCACCATTTACGAGCTGGAGGAAACTATCTGAGTACAGATACAGTAAGGCGACGTCTGGCTGAAGCAAATTTGAGACCATTAAGGCCTGCAAATGGCCCAAAATTAGAAAGACACCACTTAAACTCAAGGCTGAGTTATAGCAGAGAACACGAAACTTGGACTCTGGATGACTGGTCAAGAGTTATGTTTTCAAACGTGTCTAGATTCTGTTTATACAAGCACGATGAGAGGAAAAGAGTGTACCGAAGACCGGGAGAGCGCTATAACCAAGCTTGTATAGAAGAAAAAGTACCATATGGCGGTGGCTCTATACACGTGTGGGCTGGGATTTCTTCCGAAAGCCGTACTGAGCTAGTAGTGATAGAAAATGGCAGTTTAACAGCAGAACGATATGTGAATGAAATTCTTAATGACTATGTTGGTCCATTTTTAGTAGATATGGGCGAAAATGCTGTTTTTATGCAAGACAACGCCCGCCCGCATACAGCTCAGATAGTGTTCGACTATTTTCACGAAGTAGGTATCACATGCATGGAGTGGCCAGCACGAAGCCCCGACTTAAACCCCATCGAACATGCATGGGACGAACTGGGACGACGTGTACGTCAACGGAATCCGCCGCCAATCACGCTGCGTGAATTGAAAGGAGCTTTGATCGAGGAATGGCAGAACATTCCGCAGCATCGCCTTAAAAACCTTGTGGAAGGTATGCCGAATCGCATAGCCGCAGTTTTGCAAGCTCGTGGAGGTATTTTTTTTTATATTATATTTGTATTTTTTTATATTCAATAAATTACAATTAAATAATCTTTAATTTAGTTTTTATTTCATAAAAATAAGATAAGTAGTTTTCAAGATATTGACAATTTTCTAACCGACCCGCTTTCTTTGCGGTCCAGTGTATTTAATTAAAACTGATTGTTCCAGACAAAATTATTTATATATGTATTAGTATTATATATTTTTAATACGTTTACAAAATTATTATCTTTACTAATATTACAAAGATAATAAATTATTTATTGGTTTGTTTGTTTTCTTGTTTGTACTGAAATGGCTCGGAAACTACTAGACCAGTTGTAAAAATTCTTTCACCTTAGACCGAATTATTATAATTTAAAATTAAAGATTGTTCGTAGTGTTTGTGGTTATGATTTGATTAGATAAAAAAATATAATCTGTTTAATACAAAATAAATATTATCTATACAATAAATATTGGGTTAATTATGGTTTAATTACCTTTATCTGATAACAGATTGCGGTTTTAATATTTTCAGAAGTCGCAAACATATCATTTAAAACAAATTTAAATATTGTATTTGATAAATTTTGCATTGACAATGCTATACTGGAAACTATTCTTAATAAAAAAATTATATAATAATAATATAATGGGTTCAAATTCCATCTCAGAGTACCAGTTGATTTTTTAGGCATTTTTCAAATTAAATTAATTCATCGTTCAACTGGGTAAAAAAAAAAAAGAATTTTATTTAGTCTGCCAGCCAGATAATAGTAAAATATTAGATACGTATTTTTTGCGGTAGA